AGAGTTAATTTACGTATATTTATTGAGTTTACTTGGGAAATGACTTCTTTCAACAAAGTTCCACTCACTTCAGTTACATTTTTTCAGTAAATGAGAAAAGTATTAGCTCTACAGAAACTGAACACTAAAGCATAACTAGTAACAAGGTACTTGTTGTTTGCATTATACCCATAGTATCTCCTCGCCTCCTTGCATGGTCTCCTTGGACACACGCCCAATTGGACTTTTCTCATTCGGGGTTCACTCAATCAGTGACCCGTACTGCGCGAGATGTCACTCAACGGTCTCCTCAGCGTCTATCCACTCCATCTCCATTTTCTTCGGCATATTTATTAGGCAGTAGGTTTTTGATCTGTTCGTTGTTTTCCAGAGTTTCTTGCTGCTTATTCTTTCTGGTTAGTCATCCAATCTTCATTTTACAGCCAGCGAAGAGATGCCGTTGGAAATGCTTTTTTGACTCTCCAATTTCCTGACACATATCAAAGGAATGACCGGCTTCAGATTAGTATTGAAAATCCAAATTTTGTTGTTTATGCTGAGTGTAGAAGATTTCTAAAACGAATTCAGATTGATGAAGGTCTGTCTTACCTTGCCCATACTAGTTCTGACATCTTCATCTATGTCGTCTGCTTGTAGTTGAAACAATCGTGTCTAGATAGGTGAAGAAATCGACTTCTAGTGATGGTTTGTAGGGATTTGATTGGTTTCAAAATTTCATCATGAGCTGACATTAGTTAGAGAACCATTGGAAAACCTGGGAGTACTGGACAACTGTCTCGTCCTAGTTCGGTACTCTTCATCAGTACGCACCCACCGGGATTCGAACCCAGGACCTTCCGGTATACGAGCTCGCCTAGCAACCGGAAGGTCCTGGGTTCGAATCCCGGTGGGTGCGTACTGATGAAGAGTACCGAACTAGGACGAAACAGTTGTCCAGTACTCCCAGGTTTTCCAATGGTTCTCTAACTAATGTCAGCTCATGATGAAATTCTGAAATCGACTTCTCCCGAATTTCTTCCGTTGGTAGTTATTGATTCTTGTTGTTGTTGGTGGTTAGTTTGTCACTCTCATCACCTCTGTCTTCTATGTGTCCACTTGAAGTTCGGTTCTATCTTTGTTGCTTCTTCTCCCAACTAATAGGTTCCCGCATTAAAGTCTTGGAGTTTGTGTGATGCTAGACAGTAGGATATGTTTATCTGCAATCAGTGCATTAAGGTTTTTGTACTATTCGCCGCATAAATTATAAATTAAGGGATTTTGTGAATACTACCATATATCATTGACATTATACTGTAACGACAGAAGACAAGGGCCTGGCAACAGATTGTCTATTTAAAAAAATCGAGAGATATAGATTTTTATGTACATTATTATTCGTTATTGTTCGCAGAGAAACAGCGTCTTCTGATTGGCTGTTTTCTTGTTGAAGATCATTCTGTCATCTCTTTGTGACCGTTTCTTAGACAGTCCGGTCGTATATCTGCAAATCATATCTGCCCGCTTTAAGTCTGCTGTGATTGGTTGTTGAATTCCTCAAGGATAGGCTTTGTTATTGTTTTATCTCATGACCCCGATTTAGGAGGGTAAACTGTTGTTTACAATTTTGGCTCTCATCACAATATACCTCTTTACGAGTAAACCATATTAATCTATGGAAATGGTGTCTCTCGACTTGTAGTAAGTATTTAGACGTCCCATTTCCTGATGATTTACTTTAATATATAGGACTACAAATTTACATGAATATTCGTTCATTGATATCCTTGACATATTAAAATCGTCTTAGAATCCTGATCATAAATGACAGAAGTTATCTGTTAAGTGAAGTCCTATTCAAGTATCCATTAGAAATAAAAGTTTTTTCCGAATGAAAACTTCAAATGATTTCATGAACTTCATCTATTTCATAGAAATGAACTAAACGTAAGCGCATTGGCGAAGTTCAGCGATAGCGTCCCAGGAGTGCGAACGCTTCAGTGACCTTGAACGCATGCTAGTCGTTGGCTAACGGCACCTATCATTATCATAGCTGAAATATCAACGCTATTCATTTAATAAGGAGCAAGTTTCACGCAGATAACGCTTTCAATTACTGTTTGGACAATGTGTTAATATCCCGTTAGGGTTAGAATAAGGGCTGAATTAAGTATTGGGGTTAGGGTTACGGTCATGTTTGGGATTAGGGCTAGGTTTATGGCAGGATAAGGATTCTCATTATGGTTAGGATTAAGGTTAGGGTTAGTGTTAAGTTTGGGGTTAGGGTTACGATTAGGGATAGATTTATATTTAATGTCGTTTATTTTAGTTTGTTTTATCCTCATTTCCCTTGTATGTAGTCGTCGATCCTCTTACTGAAACCATAGTAATTTAACCGAGGGCTTTGGAGAGGACTGCACAGCAAAAGAAGAGAGATGAACGATTCACAAAACAGCACGTCTTTAGTCACTTCGGTGAATACATCTATAGGAACTAGTCCAGCTTAGCAACTGATGCTCTTCATCATAACTGAGACGTATTTTTAAGTCATGTCAGAGAAAGATAATCTGTTTAATATGTTGTCGTGCATTTTCTTGTGAATATACGTCATTTTTGTGCAAAAATTCCTCATTTTTATAGTTGGTTGGCTGAAGGTCACTTGTGCATTCGCATCCCTTGGGACGCCGCTGTAGAACTTTGCCAGCGCATTCATTAGACTGAGCACTTAAAGCGATTGATTCATGAAATCAGGCATCTTAGAGTTTCTAGCTTATTTCTTTAGAGTGAAATGACATTTTTGTATTATCCTGTGAGGTGCTTGTATTGCCTTTAATTTTCCTGTCGTCTAATATAAACACTAAGTTGTCGTTGTCACTGTATTAAAAACTGCATATTTAATCTGAAAGGGTACAAGTTTACTGAAAATGATTTCATTTCTTAAAGAAACATGTCACAGTATGAAGTGTTTATACAATCAGCTCATGATTTTACACAAGTTTTGGTTTGGGACCCCACCAGTTAAGTTGCCGATTTAGTCCTACTTGGACAGTAGTAACAGCTGTGACTGCAGCAGTGGGCGATTTGGAGGCGTCAATTCCTGCTAGGTAGCAGACACTTTATTGTTTAGGGCTGATAAGGGCGCAAAACCCTCATTTTCTTCTCAGCTATCTTATAAAATGGTTCTGATGACATTTTATGGAACGGGTTCCATTATGTTTATAGTTCTGTAACTAATTTTGCAGAAATAAACGTGCAGTATGATGCAGACTGAAAGGGAATGACCGAAATTGAAACCAATATTTTTAGTCAGTGGCTAGCTGCGAAGGTAGAAGTGTTTATTCCGCAAATTTGGACTTGGTTTACGTTGTAAACATGAAAAATCCTCACTGGACAACTTGTTTAGCCATGAGTCAACTGTCAACCAATCAGAACAATTTATTGTCTTCTAGCCTATCCGGATTTGAATGGGGCTAAGAATGCATAAATATATTTTCCTTAGTGGAGTTCCGTCACCAAGACTCTTATTTTATTCCGTTACAAGCATTCATCCATAGATTTACTGGCACGGTGCGTCTATCTTATGGGAAAAACAACTTTTACTACTTTTAAACGTAGTGATGATTTATATACCTAGCTGCCATGTTCTATGGACTGTCTCAAACAGCTTGAAGAACTCTATTTACACTTTTCTCTTGTCCACCATTTCAGTTGATTCATTGCTGCCAGTCATAAAAGCCCAGCTGGTTTTTCAGTTTTTATGTCAGATTACTAGTTCACCAGTTTCTCGAGAAACGTTGATTTCGCGTGCATTCCTGGATAAACTAATCAACGTATTTCCAAGCCACTTTCTCGTAGTAGACAGAAAAACCAGTGTAAATCTAAGAGTTTCGCTTTACTAGACATGGCGAATGACGATACCATTGCAGAAATGGTCCATTAAATTAGAATAAGTTTCATTATTATCCCTAGGACAACAAGTATTCACGCCAGAGATCCTTTCCCATACACCTGGAAAAATTTTTCACAGTCTTCATCATTCATTCAACGAAGCGGAATTTACTGGCTTTAGAATACCTATGTCTTACTTATTTGATCTACTTCACTTCACCACTACACTTACTTTCAGACTTAGGCTACCTGTTTTTCATCCCAGTTTCGCACAACAATGATCTCTTCAGTCTTCCAATCACTTATAAATACGACCACTAACACAACCTATTGTATTTACCCATATTTTATTATTTGTCTTTTGATTATAGGTTGATTTCACATAGTACTTTTGGTACTAGTGTGATGAGGGCTGGCTGCTAGCCAAATTGGTAGACAGTAATTTACGTCAGTGTTCACGTTCTCAATATTGCTAGTGAGAAAAATAAGGACAAAGACTAATTCAACAATCGACCACAGCAGACTTTGCGTAGGCGGATACAGTCAGCATATAGATGATCTGACATTCAAGAAACGGCCACAAAGATATGAAACAACCAGTCAGAAGACTGTGTTTTTCTGCTAACAATAATCTACAACAATGTACATGAAAATCTATAAACACGTGTTGTTTTCCTTAATAAACGATCTGTTTCGCTGTCCCTTGTCTTCTGTTGTTACACTAGTATGCAATTTTCAGTTATGTGATATCATTAGCCCAAATTTTGCAGGCCGACCATTGATATCAGGTTTGCATCGGTAGGGAATCGAACCCTGGACCATGTGCATGGTCGGCGAGAGTCCTAGACGCTGTACCACCGCTTCCTTATTATCTCTAACCAACCTTTGATCACTAAGATATCACATTTAATTCACTTCAACTGCAAGGGGAATATAATAATTTACCAAAAAGTTGTTCACTTGAATATTTTTCTGATCATTTTATTCAATGTGGTTTGTAATACAAAGACATGGTAAATGAATTAGTTTGCTTCGTACAATAGAGATATTTATGAAATAATGTGATATATATACATATACATATATATATGTGTATGTATATCTATAGCTTCTATTGTCATTTATTCTCATCATCTTCATTTCATTGATGTGTAACATTTAAGCCATGATCCCAGATATTTTATTGGTTCACTTGGTCGTACTATTGCCAATTCTGTTAAGCCTAAAGACAGTGGTTCGGCTGAAATAAGTGGGAAGAAACACAGAAAACTATATTGTAAACATAAGCAAAATATTTATCATCATAAGCTGAACATTTTACGAGTTGATGACGGATTCATATCAGTTAGAGAACCATTGAAAACCAACATCGGAGTACTGGACAGCTGCTGTTTCATCCTAGTTTGTGAACCATCGGCTGTACGCACCCACTGGGGTTCAAACTGATGTCTAACTGATATCAATCCATGATCAACTCGTAAAAAACGAAATTAACCCTTACAAACCAAACTATAGAAAATTAATCTGATGCTCGCTAGTGACTTGCTACAGGATGGAGTTTCCTGGAGTTCTAGTGAAAAGTCGTGACCAATGAAGTCCATCCAGATATCACGTGTGAGGATGGATGTCCCACCGAAGACAATGGTTAGATTCGCGCTAAATCACGAATTGGTAGAAGTTAGAATTCATGAGCCATTTAATCGGGTCCCAGTAGCTGAATGGTATACGAGCTTGCCTTGTAACTGGAAGGTCCTGGGTTCGAGCCCCAGTGGGTGCGTACTGTCGATGATTCCCAAGCACTAGGATGAAACAGCAGCTGTCCAGTACTCCAATGCTGGTTTTCAATGGTTCTCTAACTGATATGAATCCGGGATCAGCTTGTAAAACCACGATTAAACCTTACAAATCAAACTATGGAAAAATAAATTGAACTGTCAGAATGATTCAATCTAATACACAGAAGTAATAATCCTATTAGAATGTATGGTAGTATTAAAATTCATAAAGCAAGATACCGTATTAGGCCGATAGTTGACTTTAGGAGCACTCTGATATTTGAATTATCTAAATACCTATCATCAATATTATGTCCAATTAGAGACAGGTTGCACTGTAGTTTAACTCATTCTTATGTAAAAATAAAACAGAAGCCAGAGGAAATTCAATTAGAAAAAGATGGAAAAATGATTATTTATGACATATCCAGTTTATACACTAATGTTCTAATGAATACGAATCTGAAGGCAGTTAGGAATGAACTGAACATTTGGCCTGACCTCAGAAGTAGGAGTACGGTCTAGATTGATGAAATAATATTAGGCGTTCAGTTATGTATAATCTCCACTGTATTCTAATTCCAAAATAAACTATATAAACGAACGAATGGGATGGCAATGGGATCACCAATTGCATCAATAATAGCAGATATATTTATGGACAGCTGGGAACGTAAAGTCTCTAGCGCGTTTAATACTGCTCCTAGGTTGTGATGAAGATATGTGGATGATACATTCACTGTGTTGAAATCTGAACATGTCCCCCAATTCTTTACGCATATAAACTCAATTAATAGACGGAATCCAGTTGACTTCTGAGTTAGAAAATCAACAGGATGAATTGGCAATGCTAGAATGTAGAATAAAACGAAAACAAGATGGCGGGTTAGATACTGGCATTTATAGGAAACCGACACACTCTAACAAAAATACTTAGACTTTAATTTATCCCATCCAGAATCGGTCAAAATAGGTTTAGTTAAATGTCTGTATAAGCAGGCCAGGAATCTAACTACTAAATCAGAAAATTTAAATGATGAAATCAAGCAAATAACAAACATATTTCCAGTGCATAAATACTACCCACCAGAATTTATTCAGAAGTGCATGAAGAACCGTAGAAATACTAAGATTAGCAATAAAAGTGACGAAAATAATATAGAGTTCAAAGCCTGTATGGTACTACTGTATAAAGAAGGAACATAAGATGCTTTACACAGGATTCTGAATGAGTCTGGAATCACGGTGGCACTTATACCAACCAAATCTCTCAGAAATCAACTTTACGGTTTAAGGATCCAACAGATCCAATTCGGAAAAATAATATGATATCTATAATGTCATGTAATGGTGAATTTAAGGTCAGTTACATAGGTGAAACTAGTAGATCGGGGTCAACTGGATTATTGGAACATAAAAATTCAGCTAGACCTAGACTGATTGACCCTGCTAAGTTAAATAACCTGATAAAAGCTCAGCCATTGCGCTGCACTGTATTCACTTGCATGTGATCAGAAAAATAGGGTGTATGGGATAGGGTATGAGTATTAAAAAGTAATATAGTTAGGTGGGGAGGCAAAGAGGTTATTCACTGAAACTTTATTTACTGATTCAAAACCCCACATGTGTAATCGGAATGGAGCAACGCCTACATCGGAGATATGGGGAATTGCAACAAGCAACAAGGAGGAGGGGCAAAACAAGAAAAAGAAAATGTATAAGGCAAATTATGATGCTATGTGAATGTATTGATGTGATTATGAGCAACAAATTATGGCCGAAGCGTCACCCACCGTGTATTATATCAAATGAATTTGTCCAATATGGAATATACACTAGTTAACCTTATAAGATTTTAGTCCATCGTAAGTGGTGCCATTAAACATCATAATCTCATCTTCAAGAGTTAGTTTGTAGGAATTTGTTTTGTTTCAGGTTTGATCATAGATTGATATCAGTTGGGGAACCATTGGAAACCTGCAGGGAGTAGTGGAGAGCCATTTCGCCACAGCTCGGGTGTCATCAGCCAACGGAGTCCCAATCCAGGACTTTCTTGAGAAAAAAAGGAAAGGTCATAAACGACTCAGCCACTTGGACTCGACTCAGTGACCAGCCTACGAATTCTAACTTCTACCAATTCGTGATTATAGTGCGACCACCAGCCAACATTATCGGTGAGTATTCATCCCCGTGGGTGCTTGCTGATAATGAATCTCAAACTAAGAAAAAAAACAACTGTCCAGTATTCTCTGGTTTTCAATGGTTTTCTAACTGATTTCAGTCTGTAGGCAAACTTCAAAGTTTCATCCGCAGAAAGACTGTATTATTATTATTGTTCCCTTGGGTTCTTAGTGGAACATAGGGCTAAAACTGCACGTCTCCACTTGCCACTTCTGTCTTACTTCTGCTGTACTTTTCACCTGCATCCATGTTTGTCCATACTCTTTCAACTCCTCTCCCTTCACACGATCTCCTCCATGTCACCTTTGGACTGACGACCCACTCGCCGCTTTCCTTTCGGGTTCAACTCGAGCAATGGCCTGACGCGTGCGTGATGTCACCCAGCGACCTCCTCAGCGAGTGTCCAATCCATCCATCTCCACTTTCTCCTGCATATTTGTTGGTTGGCGATTGGTTCTTGTTTTGTTTGTTTGTTCACATAGTTCCTTGTTGGTGGTTCTCTCCGGCCCGGCCATGTGATATTCAGTATAGAGCGAAGACAGTTGTTAGTAAAGGTCTGCAATAGCCTGTTGGAAATATTCTTTCTGACCCGCCCACCAAGTTTCTGATCCGCATAGAAGAACTGACTGATTTGACTTTTGTATTGAAAATCCGACTGAATTGTGTGGTTGATGCTGGCTGAGTGACGAAGATTTCCGGATTGGTTTCAGGTTGGTTGATGAATGCGTTTCTCGCCTTCCCGATTCTCGCTCGATTTTACATCCTCGTCCGTTCCTCTTGTAATTGAGACAATGCTCCCTAGACAAGTGAATGAAGTAACCTCTTTCAAATCCCTCCCGTTGATGGTGATTGGCGCTAGATGTTCTTGTCGTTGTTGGTTGGTTATTTTCATAACCTCCGTCTTGTCTATGTTCACCTGGAGTTCTGTCTGTGAATTATTCTAAATCCTGCAGGAGTTCAACATTTCGTCGCACTTTTCTTTCACATAAGATGACGGAGCGTAAGGGACCAGTAGATCAGTGATACGACTGAAATCTGTATTCTAAATTTTAGATAAGAGTTTCTTGTTAGTTTCTCTGCTCCTATTCCACTGACTCATTGTTTCCGAAGATATAAAACCGCTCATATATTTGTAAAATATTGTGAATTCATCAGTCCGACGATAATTAAATAGTACAGACTACAGGGATTTTGGACTAATTCCAGTCGTTAGATTTTTCACCAGTGGAAAGTCGTGACCATTTGATTCCACCGTGTGTTAAGGTGAACTGCATTGTCACCAAAGTCATTAGTGAGGGTAGAGGTGTATCTCAAGTCTCCGAAGTTAGAATTCACGGGTTGCTGAATTTCAGCCCAAGTAGTTGGATGGTCAACGAGCTAGGTCTCTTAACCTGAATGTCCCGGGCGCAGTCCCTGGCCAGGTCGTGGGTATGCAGTGATGATAAGTCACAAGATAGGACAAAAGAGCTGTTCAGGGGACCATAATTTTTATTGATCTGCCTAATCGACGCTAATTTGTGACGAAATCTAACAAGTGGAATTAAATAGTTATTTGTCTAAATAGTTTAATACTGCATTACAATAGTGATATAAAAGTTAAATAGAGTACAGAAAACTCACTAAGCTCGTTGAATAGATCAGATCCAGATGAAGTGAAGGTAACTGCATTCATTTGACTAAATGATTCGTCTTTCATCATTTTTCTGAATCTTTCAATTCCTGTAAACAGAAATTAATGCAGCAGTAAACTTCTCAGAATCATGATGGAATTAGTCTGATTAAGAGATATTTTTTAAAAGTTGCTTTTAATCAATTAACATAGAGTGATGTAAAGCGACATGCGTCAAACACATCTTTGTGGATATCCGTCTATATAAAAATTAAGCTTATTTGTTTAGCCTCCGCCATGTGCATGCATCAGATCACTTGCTTTTGTGGAGCAAGGTAAATTGTTCGTAGCCACAGAATGCTTTCCAAACGGATATGAGAACATATATCAGAATGTATGGAGGATTTCACCATGAGCTGACATTGGTTAGAGAACCATTGGAAAACCTGGGAGTACTGGATAGCTGTTTCGTCCTAGTTTGGGACTCTTCTACAATACGCACCCAGAGTGATAAGATTAGGCAGTTGAAAGCTCAAAGACTTCGGTCAGCCATCAAACGAACATTCTACACCGCCACATCTCTTTTTCTCACTTCCCGAACATTTTCGATTCCTGTACAGACCTACGATTACAGGACGAAATTCTGTGGACTCTACTTCAAACTGTATCTACAAGTTCACCTGCAGCTGCGTTGACACCTATGTAGGTAGAACCGACAGAATGTTCCAATGTCGTCGAAAAGAACATGTTCCAAAATGGCTACTAAATCATATCGAAAATCCCATTGCGATTAATCTGAATAGAAATCCAGCATCATCCATTGCAAAACGCTTATTAATGTCAGGTCACAAAATCAATATTAATGACTGTTTCACAATTATTACTTCAGATAACTCTAATTCAAGGTTGGTGATTAAAGGTGATGGAAGCACTTTGGATTAATCACATACAGCCTAAAGTGTGTGTACAAAAATCAATAGACTTCAATCTTCGCTTAACACGGACTACATAACCTATTTAAATATGATTGGTCATTAGCATTATGTACTTTTGTTTTTTATTTAACTGAGTAATTGTCATGATCTTTATTTTATTAGTGTTAACCATGTTAGTTGTAGGGCAGTTGTAAAGAAACTACGAAATGATGCCATCATCTCGCGGAATTTGTCTTCTAAACGCCTTATTCAAATTTATCAAAGGGACTAATTGTTTTAGTTAACAGAATCGTTTTATGATTCTATTTTTAAATGCATATCTATGACTACTTATCGACCGAGTCTTGTTGTTAAACAAACTTTCTAAATTATCGATTACATTCACTTTCACTTACTGTACTTTAATACATCACCTTCGTAAGCTTGTTCCATGATTGGACTGTTTTTCGAATTCATATCGATTAACGCCTGTTGTTCAGGGGAGTGGAATTTTACAGCAGCACTTTTCTTGCTATTCGATGCTTCTTCTACATTATTATCATCATCATTTTCGGTAGAATCATATTCTGTTGTCTGTAGATAATCATCATAACCAGTGCCATAATTATCAGAAATCACTGCTTTACTACTCAAATCGAATTTCACATCTTTTTTATGGTTAGGTGATGGTGTAAAACGACACATCTCTTTTGTTTTCTTAGACTGTAGACAATACTTAGTCAAATGATCTAATTCCAGACTGTCACGCGTCTTCCGGCCAAGTGAAGATGATGGATTTACGCTTAATCCTGACAAATGGTGAGAAATATCGTTAGCTGTTAAAAATTTACTACAACTACTATTACTACTAGTGATACGATTATCAGTATTATATACGTTAGTGCGTAGATCAGTTGATGTGATTTTATCTAATGCCATGTTATCATTTATATATTCTTTTCCTTTATGTATTATTGGTATTTTTGGACGATTCATTTTTTCTATCATACTGATTGCTCTGTTGTTCACGGCATCACATTTAATTGTAGAATCATTAAAAGCGTTAAATCTGTTTTCAGCATTGAATTTGTCAAAATGTTCAAGGTCGTCCAAATCAACTCCAGTTGAAATTTCTGAGATATTATCCTTAGCTTCTTCATCATCATCATCATCATCAGATAGGTCGTCCTTGACACAATCTGATTTGTTATTCCCATCATTATCGTCATCATCAGAAACTGATTTCTCGTAGGATAAGGTTGAATGATCTGATTCTATTTGATCAACATCTTCTTCTAAAACTTCAGCAAAATTAGATTGATTTCCAAATAGTTTATTCGGTAATTTGTAGTCATTACTTCGACCAGTGACAAAGTAGGTTCTCATCTTACCTTTCCCCTTTAAAAAAATTGAAGAAACACGGAGAAAAACAAAAGGAAATAAAACGTGAAATTATCAGTACCACTACTACTGCTAATACTACCACTACGCCTAGTCAAACAAAAATCTCCTGATCGTAAACAGAAAATGTGAGCGAACATCAGCAAGTGACCACACGATACAAACCCTCGAATACCAGGTTTTTAACTGAGGAAACTTTATTATACGCTTTTACAGATAGAGTTACCTTAGATGAAGGCACCGGAATTAGATCAATTTAATTCTTACTAAAAGAATTAAACTGTAGTCAGGCCTATGAGAACGGAGTTGATGGTCTGCCTGTCTTGTTGCCAGCTACATCCCTATCTGACTGTTCATAACTGAGTCAATAGCATTTTATTGGGAATAAGCTAGTGTGTCAAGCTAAATGGTCTTACGATAAATCCCTTCACATATCAGACCATTCATTTCATCTTGAAGCGTAAAAACGTGATCTACTCGAACTGGTTCGTTCACATGTTGCTTATAGCATACAGGTCATTAATAGAGAAACTAAAAATGAAGCATTAAATACCTTGGAATAGTTCTATTCTCTCACCTTTCTTCATCATCCCATATCTTGTCGATTCCTAAGAAAATATTCCCAGTACAGACAGTATTAAACTTGATATCTACGACTTACTATGTAATTAGTTTAATGATTAACTCTCTGAATTTCTCCCACCTGTTATTTATGGTGACACGAATTCAGTTAAATTATAATTTTATCCATTCACATTAATATCATCATTATTTTACATCTTTTGTACATTTCTGACGTTGTTATCCCCGCAAATACCAAAAAGTTGTTATTGTCAATTCTGGTCAACTGCCTCCTGTAACATAAGGTAAAGGAAGACTGGGTATCCCGATATAGGCAAATTATGTACCCCTTATCTTCAACGCATCATTTGTACAGATCTTCCGTGTTGTGCTACACTTCTGGCCTTCCTTCATATTGTGTTTTTCTGTGTTCCTTTCACGTCTCCCATGTATCTCCACAACTCTGTGTCATTTGCTTCCTTTGACATCAAATCTATCTATATTCCTACTATTTGATGTTGTTCTGCCGATGGACATCTCTTTGTGTACTAATGATAAATTTGATCAGTAGCACGCACAACACTATGATTACATTTGAAATATTTTTATTGTTATTTACCTTTCTTATTTCACTCTGTATTCCCTTATTCAGTAGGGAATAATTCATGATAAGTAAAGTATTGTGTACTGTGTAGTGTTAAACACATTGTAACTACAGGAAGTCTCACTGCTAGGATGTCGTCAACATGTCTCCAAAAATATGGTGGAGATATGTGGATGACTGATACTTTCACAGTGCTAAAAACAGAACATATCTCTCTATAGCTTCTTAACACACATAAACCCACTAGTGGAGGGAATAAAATTCACATTTGAATTGGAAAATGAACAAGGAGAATTAGCTATGTTAGATTGTAAAATGTAACGAATAGAAGAAGGTAGACTGCACAGTAGTGTGTACCCAAAACCAACTCATTCAAGTAGATATTTAGTCTTTAATTCATCTCATTCATCATCTGTAAAGGCAGGCTTAGCGAAATATCTAACAATAATATCTAATTTCAGACTTTATATCCTAACAACTAACATGTGTGGAGAAAACAACGTGGAATACACGGCCATTCTGAGCATTCTACCACACCGCACTTATACTTAGTCATAAACTATCTAATCAGTTTTAAATGATTATTAATGTGTTTCAGTACTTAAATGATGAATGTGTTTGCATTCATATATGGTCTACATAGTTCTGAAGTATAACTACAACTCCATATTTGGTTTTTCAAAATAAATATACGGATAAAAATGAGAATGAAGTTTCTTTACATATGTATCGATTTTTTGGTTATTGGAGAGTAACTGATGTTATATTTATTATCCAGCTGTGCACATTGTGAATGAATTACAGAAACCGCATTTGCAATGTGACTAGAAAGTTAGAAGAATGAAAGTTATACTTTGACTGAACACTAGGTATTCAACACTTAAGGTCATGCGTCTAGTTCTTCGTTTAGTGAACACTGTGTTCTATCAATCAAGTTTACAATGCGGCCATCATACCAGATGGCTTGACACCATAGTGCCCTCTGCAATGTTTTTATTAGATGGTTTTCGGCAACCGGAAGGAAGTAGTATTGAACCTAAGATTTGTGCTTGTTGATACTTACTGGTCAGCAGGGTTTGTTTGGAATCTTGAAGGAACCCATGTCACCGAGTGTTACAGTCAGAAACATTATCACTGAGCTATTAGGACTCGGGATTAACCTTCTGCAGAACTGCATTAGGTACCTTGGTTGGACACTAGATAATAAGTAACTGGTGTCACGCGTCTAGTCCTGTGTTCGGTGCAGACTGAATTCTATCAGTGAAGTTATGAAAGTAGGGAGTTCCAATACATACAACTGATATATTTCTGGTCGATCTCTCGAACTAGATTCCTTCAGATAGTTATTAGGGGTTTGACAGAACTAAATTGTTGGTATCCCTGTCGTTCGCCACCCACAATCCTACAACCAATACTTCTGTAAACAAGACCACTAGTTGTAATCTACTCATAAACCTTATCAGTCCAACCAAAGTTCAAGATTTAGAAAAATAACTTCATTTTTTGAAGCCAAATGAAAACCGTTTAACAATCGTTTTGACCACTGACGTGTTATTCTTCTCCTTTAAATGCCTTTCTGTTAGTGTCATCGTTTTGGTGCAACATATTCTATAGTGAGCCAGTTCAATAAACTGTATTCTAGTTTATTGAGGCGGTGTGCCTTTGAGTTGTCATGAGTTATTAATTGTAATCCCAGTAATAATAATAATAATTAAAATGTCATGATGGAATAGTTTAACCCAATCTCAATAAATCTAACATTTAAACAAGGTATAAGACTTTATTTTGTGAGTGGAATTTACGATGCACATTTCGTCCTAATTGAGATTCGTCATCTGGATGTGACTGTATTCCACAGCGAGTTATAGTGTTCCCCTGTGAAGCTCGAACTCAGCATCCTTTGTCTTCAAGCGCTAAATTGTGTTATCCACCAGACAGCTTTCATTAAGTGAACTTGATTTTTCCCTTCGATTGGTATGAAACTTGTTTTTAAAGACGAAAACTGATGAGTGTCAACAAATTTGATTTTCTGACTGTCAATGAATTTTAAATGCTTAGTGCTAGTGTGTTTATAGACCATTTGAGGTGTTTTATATCTTTCTGTCAGTCTATTCATTCGTGATAGATCGGAATTCTGGTGAGAATCAGCTCAAACACAAAATATCCTCTTAAAATTGAAACAAACACTGTTCTATATTGACTAATTTTTCTCAAAAGCTAACAGTTTTAACATCAATATTCAGTGAAGATGAATACAACATCGAATATGAGGGAATGTTCCACCCCTGCTCCTCCCTCAAAAAGCAAATAATTAAAAATTACCTTCACGCTGATTTCCCCACGGAATTCTAAAATGTATGGAAATTCCGATAGACTCGTGGCGAATGTTTGACTGACATGGATTCGATCAGGCTGAAATGAAGGAAGAAAAGTGTCCACTTTTAGTCTAGTTATCCAAATGAAGTTAACTGTTCCGTGATATTTAGCGATAAAAAAACGCTGATAATAATAATGATAATAATAAAATTACTGTAATATATTATGGTGGTGTAACAACAGAAGACAAGGGCCAGGCAACAGATCGTTTATTATTGAAATCAACACATATTCATAGATTTTCATGTAGATATTTTAGATTATTGTTAGTACAAAAACACAGTCTCCTAATTGGTTGTTTCGCGCAGAAAGTTAACCTTGCATCTCTTTGTGACTGTTTCTTGAATGTCAGATCATCCATATGTTAACTGTATCCGCCTATGCGAAGCCTTTCTTCTCATTTTTCTGACGACCAATATTTGGGACATAAACACTGACGTAAATTATCATCCACCAATTTGGACTAACAGTCATCTCTCACCACATTGAGGTTTGGGGTAGTTTCTTGTGTATTGTGGTGGTCATTGCCTGATTAAACAATATGAATATTTGGAAAATATCAGTTGGGCAAATAGGCTAACTGCCTGCTTTTTCAGTTGATCACAACTTGAAGCTATATTCATAGCAAGATGAATTACACGTAGATGAATTAATTACCTATTATTTACCTATGGGAAAATGTGCGCTGAAATCCTTCATTATCTGTATTACTGTACGATTATTTATTAAAAGACGGTGAGAGTTTTGAAACTTGGCACGAACAAAAATGACTTTGTTTGACATCATTAGTTATTTGAATTGAATTTTTGATTTCCCCGTCGATTGATTGGACCTAAGTGCTCGGCCTCAGGTTGACATGTCGGCTTCTTGTGCAGATGATTCGACGATGTCTGGGTATTTAATTAGTATTAAATTGGTGGATGGTGACTAGCTGTGGAATCCAGGATGCGCATTTCGTCCTATTTGGGACTCGTCACTGGATGTAACTGCATTTCTCAGTGAGTGATGGTCCTTTCACCGAGGCTCGAACCCAGTGCCCATAGTTTCAAACGCCAAAGGTGTCTAGTGGATAACGCGTACACGCGAAACTTTCGGAAAAATCTTGTTTTGATTTTCCTAAAACGCTGGGATTAATTTAAATAATTTATAATGAATCAGTCTGACTCGGCACTCAAATTATTCCAGGAAGTTCGTAACACCTACGGTCTGGAAACCTATAAAGCGTGAACAGTTTTCTGAACGTCAATCCTAAGTGCTGTCTGATCAATCACGTTGTCAACACTGGTCATTCCATCTTAGCAAACGCTTCCTTCTTCAAAGTAATCTACAAAGTGAAGGATAACCCGTCAAATGCAATGCGTTTTCGTCTACTTTGCATTGTTGAAGCCTTAGCTAATCAGTTGAAGAAATGGGAGAGATGCATACAATATAAAATTATTTAACCACTTCCACTAACTATCATGGTAACAATCTTTTTGATTTCTGCTAACTTGATTTTTGTTTGTTTATTAGTTTTTCTATCTCCTTATAACTCTAGTATTTCTTCGTAACTCATACACAATTGCACATCTTCCTGGATTTCTAATTGCAACCTAACTACAAGTCAGTCATTAAATTATTCATCTGATTACGTAACTCCAGTTCACTTATTCAATTCCCCCTTATGCATTGACTAATATTAGCAACTATTTTTGCAACAACTCATCATTACCCTCTTACAAGAGAAATGGAATATAAACAGTATTGTACAGGCAAAGAGGAGAATGAATTCTCCCAAAAAGCCTCTTTTGCTGAACTACATGTTTTGTTTTCACTGATGTCTGGATGGGGATTATTCATGAATTGAGAAATGTTTTTCTTTTTTCATCACAGTATTAGCAGAGAAAGTTTATTCAGCCTCTCTGCTGTCTTATATTCTTCAACAAAAATCGAAGACAGTCTTACTACTTAACATTACTTGTATGAAACGATATGGTAGGAAAGTGTTGACTTCTGTCCGCTTCTTATTGACGAGATGTTTGTAGATTCATACATGATTCATTCAGTACAGAAGTTAGAGTGTTTTCCACTAAATATCTGATCGATGCAGAATCATTACTAGAGTGAATCTTATACCAAATTAGCTGATTAGAGATTACAGTTACTACAGAGTGCCACCGACAATTATACATCTCATTCAACAATTGTACGACAATGCTTCATTCCAAGTAATCCACAATGGGAAACTTACGGAAGCCTTCGAAGTGAGGACGGGAGTGAGGCAAGGCTGTCTACTATCGCCAATGATTTTCCTAATTGCAGTAGATTGGATAATGCGACAGACAGCGGGCAAGGCAATGAGGAAACGGGCATAAAATGGACTCACACAAAAACTTGGAGGATCTGGATTTCGCCGATGATATATGTCTGATTTCCCATAAACTGGAAGATATGCAAGTGAAAAGCAACAAGTTGGCGGAAGAAGAAGCATAAAAGATGGGACTTTCTTCATGTGAACATAGAGAAAACAGAGGTGATGAAGATTTCTGGGCAACAACAACAGCCGCAGAAACAACAACAACAACAGACAACAACCAGCATAATGGGAGGAACCTGAAAGAAACAACCTCCTTTACCTACCTACTTGGGAAGCATCGTTTCAACTACAGGCAATCAGTACTGATGAGGAGTCAAAGCGATGGGCAGAAAAGCGAGGAAAGCTTTCATTACTCTCAAGTCTGTGTGGAGGTCAACAGCACTCAGCAGAAATAATAAGATCTGGATTTTCAACTCCAATGTGAAGTCAGTCAGTGCTACTATACGGATCAGAGACTTGGGGCTTCATAAAGAGCATCTCAAACAAACTTCAGACCTTCATTAACAGTTGTCTTCACTCAACACTCAAGATCAGATGGCTGGCCAGGAAAGATCACCAACAGGGATCTCTATGAGCGAGCCAACCCAGCAGGAACCGATTTTGAAAGAAATAGGCAGGAAGAAATGGAGATGGATTGGCTGGCCATACTCTAAGGAAATCATCAGGTGACATCTTTATACAAGCCCGCGAGTGCAACCCGAAAGGCAAGGAACGAGTTGGTCATTCAAGGTTGACTTGGAGGAGGTCATGTGAAGGGGAGATGAAGGCGTATGGGCAGACTTGGAGCAGGGTGAAAACGTTGGCAGAAAATCGAACGCAATGAAGACGCGCGGCTGAAGCCCTATGTTCCTCTAGCAATTAAAGGAAATAATGATAATAATAATAATAATAATAATAATAATAATAATAATAATAATAGAGATTATCGTTCAACCTGGGAAGTCAATGGCTGATCAAAATCTGTTGATTAAGTTTGTCTTATGCTGATTAAGGTGAATAAAACAAGATTACAATGCATTAATTAAACGCATAACAGTAAGTGAACTCACCATTCCATAAGTCATCATTCTACTAGCTGTATTCACTGTATCTCCAAATAGACAATATCTTGGAGTTTTATGACCTACTATACCAGCTACAATTGGTCCACTGTGACATCCAATGAAAAGTCTCAGTTTTTCTTCTTCCTCCTCTTCACTGTCATCATCATCATCATCGTTATCATCACTATCATTGGAATGTTTGCGTTTGGTAGATCTTGGCCATGACAAAGATTCATTAGTAACTTTTAATATATTCAATGCCATTTCAGCTATATGCGCTGAATGAAATCGTGTTTTATACGGAGCTCCTGAGACTAGCATATAACTGTCTCCTATAGTTTCTACCTACAAGTGGAAAATATATTTAGATAGCGAATAAGCCGGCTGACATTTTCGACTGCTCTTGATAAAACATGTAATTTTTAGGAATAAAGGTCACTATTTAGATATGGTTTCTTAAAAATTATATAATGGCTGTACAGCTTCATAATAAATTCTCAAGTGTTGGTTTGCTGGGATTTGATTGGTTACAGGTTTGGTCATGGACTGATGTCAGTTAAAGAACCATTGACAAGTAGCGGGCACTAGAAAGCTGTTTCACCACAGTTTGAGACTCTTTAGCACTATGAACCTACTGTTATTTGAACCTAGTACCTTCTGTTTACTAGGTGACCTCGTAGAGCATTCAACCACTGGGACCTAATCCAATGGCAATCTCCTGAATTCGAACTTCTGCAAGCCGGTGTCAAGGATGAGTGATTGTTCTCTTGCATGATTCAGTGGGTCCCAATGGTTAGGACTTTTCACTGGAATTATATATATCACAAATAGGCAGAAGTTGGATTTCAAAGGCTATTAAATGGAGTCCCAGTGACTGAATGGTATAAGAACTCGCCTTGCAACAAGAAGATCGTCGGTTCAAACCCCAGTAAGTTCATTCTGCTGAAGAGTCCCAAGTACTAGAACAAAAGAGGTGTCCAGCACTCCCAGGCTTTCAATGATTCTTTGAATGATGTCACCTAGTGACTAAACCTGTGATTGCGATTAATTCCTTGAAAAGACCGTTTTCTCTGAACAGAGTGTCCTTAATATTACAAAGAGAATCATTAAATTATACGCTCATATTTTCCGCTAACTTAAACTGAAGTTTTCCTTGTTAACTGTTGTTATGATTACATTTAACTACTTTCCTTCCAAGTCAACTCTTGAAAATTAACCTGATGCTCTTTAGTGACTTGCTACAAGAAGGAGTTGCCTGGAATTCTAGTGGGAAGTTATGACCAGTGAGGTCCATCGACTTGCATTTTCAATGAATTTCCTGTGACAGACAGCTGTCTCCTTCCAGTACAATATGGATTTAAAATCGTAACTCAAACCTACGCACAAACAAATTCCATAAATTTTAGACTCAGTTGTGTGGATGAAATAAATAAAAAGAAGGGCACAACCTTCACTTCCTGAAAATGCATCAGAGATAGCTATTCATGCTCGCGATTGACCTTCTGTGAACTGTAGTGGATATTTTGATTTGACACTAGTAACTGGTGTGATGTTGCAGATACGCCTTACTGATGAGTGCCAACTAGCACGAAACCTAGGTCAACCAAGGCTTCCTGCCGATTGCCTCTAACCATCTAATATCATCAAATAGTGTAACTTTGCTTAACACTTGTTTCTATGATTTGAGTTGAATTCACCGCATTGTTACTCATTTTATCAGTTACTCATATTATTATATTACTCATCATATTATTCACCTCATGTCACTCCTTTGATATTGTACTTTATCTAAAGTGTTAAAAATGTTTCTGTACATAAACTTAATAATTTTTTAGGCCTTATGCAGCTGATGAGAAGTTGACGAGATGAATGACAGTACTGTCTTATTCTGTACAAACTTTTGTTCTTGTCTTATTCGGTGAAATATATTCTTGTTAGTGTTGGTGACAACAGTAACAGTGATAATAGTGACTGGAGAACTTGTTAAAAGTGTTATGCTTAAGACATTATTATTACTATTATACCTAAACTCTGAAGGTTACTAGTATCTTCCTTATTCTTATGTACTCCTTTAAACCTCTTATCTTCATCCTGTTTCAGTGTTTTCCAGTATTTGCACACATAAACCTTCGATAGTTGGGTTCTCTTACTGCCTACCATTACTGAAACACATTCTTATTTGAAGCAAATAATCATATATTGTCTCTAACATAACTCACGTAATATATATCACTAGTTGTAGTTCTTTCTATAAATGCATAAATCAATATTTGATTAATGTAAATTCAAAAAGTAGTTGACTTACTTTGTAAACATTACAACTTTCTGTTAAATCATCGAAAAGTGTATACATTTTATTCAATAGTTCAACAACTTGATTTACACTTGTATGCATACATTTTGCACTGAAATTGAACACTTTTGTAAAGCATATACTCACAGCATCATAAGCCTAACCAAAGTTTAGAAAAAAATTAAACAATAATGGTATAGAGTCATGTAAAAGCGAGTGATTAGGATGTCACATGTATATATTTGCAGTATGGAACTTTTCAATCTGTGTTTATTGTATATATCTATTATGTTCAGTAGGGACACCTTAGGAACACCATTCGAACCTGATGTATATGTGGCGAAGTTCAAGAATAGCGTCCCAGGAGTGTGAACGCTCAAATGACCTTGAGTGCTTGCTAGTCGTTGGTTGAGGAAACTTACCATTATTCTAGCGCGAAAATGAACGCTGTTCATCTGCTCAGATGCAAATTTCACCCAGATCAGGTCTTGCAATACTGTCTGGGTAATGGCTTAATTGGACGTTCTCGTATATATACCTGTGGTGCTTCAATCAACCTGCAGCCTTATTCCCAGGTCATTGATGGATATATATTTAGATGCACAAAGTGTAGGTAACGAATAAGTGTTCGCACAGGTGAGTGAAACTCTCAGTTAATTGTCTTCTAGGAACCTTGTTCGAAAAATCGAAACTTTCCCTGACCAATATACTGTTTCCTTGCCGTTACTGGGTTTTGAAGTCCGGTGTGAGGTCAACTGCGGCTCAGACCGAAAATACGTTGGCGTCTACTGTGCAATGGTTCCAGTTTTGTCGAGATTTAGCGTCGGTGTAGTTGTTCATAACGATGAAACGGTTCTTATAAAGAAGAAGTACAATCGAGGACGTGCTAGAGAGAATAACGTTTGGGTTCTGGGAATTTACGACACCCAGATTAGGAAAGGATTTATCGAACTTATTCCAGATAGGAGTGCTGACACACTTCTCCCTATTATTCAGAGACTCGTCTTGCCAGGAACTACCATTCACACGGATGAATGGGCAACATATAACCGATTATCGGATTTGGGATATATACACCATTGAGTTAACCGTTCTGATGACTTCGTCGATCCCAGAACCGGTAATCATACGAATTCAATAGAAGGTTTCTGGAGAAGACTCAAAAATAGAATAAGAGTTATAAACGGCTCTCAAAATCAAGTTATTTTAAGTCATCTGGATCAATACATGTATAGGAATTGGTTTAATTTAAAATCTGACACTCCCCATTATTATTGGGACATTTCTTTTATCTCATATTAGACAAAAATACTCTGTTTAGTGATTTTTTTTTCATGCTTTTTATGTAAATATACGCAATTTCCGTACAAAAATCCTCCATTTTTCTGATTGGTCGACTCAGGGTGACTGATGCGTTCGCATCCCATGGGACGCTATTGTAGAACTTTGCCTTATATGTTGTGGTAAGTTACTTATCCTGACAGTGTGTAAGTCATTTGAAAATATTAAGTTTAACTGTGGTTTTTCTTCGCTACCAACAGCAACAACAACAATTACTAATCACTGTCAACGTAATAAATTTGAAACAGTTCATTTCCTTCACCTATCAAGGCACTACCGTTTCAGTTACAGGCAACAAAATGGAACAGGATGTTATAATCAGAACTGGAAAGGCAGGAAGGACCTACATCACTCCCAAATCAGCCTAAACAAAGGTATTCGAATTTTCAACAACAATGTTAGTCAGTCCGTTAGCTCTTCTGAATGGGTCGGGAATATGGCACTTGAGTCACTGAAGGCACCTCTAACATGAGGTTTCTGGGTTTAATCAACAGCTGCCATATTCACTGGCTGCATAATGAAAACCAGGGGACCATCCATAAATAACTAACAGTAAGAAACTCTGTAAAACAAACGAACCAACCAAGAACCTATTAATCAGCAAGAATGTTGAAGAAAAAAGAAATGGATTGGATACATGGTGAGGAGACCGTTGGATGACATAGTGCACTATGCAGTCTGTCTAGTGGAAGGTGAATGCGAAACGGCGGGTTGGGTGCAGGTCAGATGGTGACACGGAAGAGAAAATGAGATCCTAGAGGCATTCGTGGGACCAGATAAAGAGAAATGCAGAGAAAAGGGTTAAATGGAGATGTGCTGTTGAATTTCTACGTCCCTCTCAGAACCCATGGGAATAATAATAAGTTTCTGCTTGATGAAACTCCGCAGCTCTTAAAAATAAGATGCTCTTATTAAGCTTTTATTTCAGCACGGCTAATATATTTTGGAAATCAGTCATTTCCTGTACCCATTTATCTTAATTAAACCTCCCAATTATTATGTATTAAATTTATGAGACCAAACGTTTACATTGCTTTGTATCAGCGGCCACCTATGAACAGCTTACATTTCACCCATACGATTCCAAAACAAGATACCTAGCCACAAAATTGACAGTCTATCGGCTACATATTTCATATGCACAGCAATATTAAAACAAACTGATGAACAATACGTTCGCGAAGATGTCCTAACCATTTCCAATTTTACACCTAGTAATGTGATGACAGAAGGCGAGTGTCAGGCAATAGATCGTTTATTGAGGAAATCAACATATATTTATAGATTTTCCTGTACATTATTATAGATTATTGTTAGCAGAAAAACACAGTCTTCTGATTGGTTGTTTCTCACTGAAAGTTAATCTTTTATCTCTTTGTGGCTGTTTCTTGAATGCCAGATCATCTATCTGCGAATTGTATCCCCCAGGCAAAGTCTGCTGTGATTGGTTGTTGAATCAGTCTTTGTTCTTGCTTTTCTCATGACCAATATTTAGGACATAAACATTGACGTAAATTGCTGTATACCAATTCTGACCAGAGTACATCTCTCACCACAGTAAGGTGAAAACGGAAACAATAGATTGAGTGTTAGATAAGGAACTTAGCACTCATAGAGATGAATGATAGTCAGGAGCATGATAACTCAATATTACTGTCAAGAATTGTTATTATTCCTTTGGATTCCAAGGGGTCCACGATTGCCTTTAATCTCTCACATCCTCCTCCAACTTACAAGATCCCCTCCATATCACCCTCGCACCGGTAACCCACTTTTCGCTTCCCACTTGACAGATGATCTGCACTGAGCACTTTGTCATTTGACGACCTCCTCAACTCATGCCCGACCCATCTCTGTTTCCGCCTACATATATTCTAGCAGTCTGCTCTTGGTTGGTTTGCTCCCAGGCAGCCAGAGGCATCTGTCGCTTTTTCTTTCTGACTATAAGGCCATTTGATCTTCAGTATGGAGCTAGCGAAGACAGCTGTTAATAAAAGTCTGCATTTAAGTGTTGGAAATTCTTTTCGTGACACGCTAGCCAAGTTTCTGACCTGTATAGAATAACTGAATGACTGACTTAAAGTTTGTGTTGAAAATCGCAATCTTGTCGTTTACGCTGGTTAAGTGAGTGCAGGAGATTTTTAAACTGGTTTCAGGTTGATGAAAGCATATCTTGCCATCCCAATTCCGACCTGCTTTGACATCTTCATCCGTTCCGCCGGCCTGTAGTTGGAATGATGCTTCCCATATGAGGGAAGGAGGTAACCTCTGTTCAATCTCTCCCATTAGTGGTGATCTGTACTGGTTGTTGTTGCTTCAGATAGTTGGTTATCTTCATCACCACCTTATTTATGTTCACCTGGAGTCCTGTCTTCACTGGTTGCTTCTTCAGCTAGTGTGTTGGTTTTCGCCGGTAAGTCTTCGAGTTTGTGTGATATTAGACGTATAGCACCTGCAAAATCCAGATCTTCTAGAGTCTCCTTATCTGTGGTCCAGCGTATTGTTGTCTTCTCACCCCCTATGTACAGTCTTCCGTATAATCCTGTCCACCACAATTAAGAATATCATCCTTGGTGATAATAGGCAGCCTTGTTGTACTCATGTATGCACTTCAAAAGCCTCGCTGAGTTTTCCGTCTAAACGGTGCTCAAAAATTTTCAATCTATCATAAAAGCCGACATGTAGGTATGCTGGAAATTTCAAAAAATAACTCTCAGGTTGAATGAAATCTTTAAATGAAAAAGTCTGATATAGGTATCTGAAATTAAGTCTTTATTTCACGATCTCTTAGACAGCTGCAAGACTTATTAATATTATTGTTATGTACTCGTCGCTGAATTTATTGTTATGGACTGGTCGAGAAACTAATAGTCCTGACGCGAGAAGGCGGAAATCAGAAGACCACTAGGTTTGCGATGATACTTCTATTGTCCAAACACAAGGAGACGAAAATAAATGGTCTCACACCAAAGTGGTAAGTAAGTAAAGTAGTTGTAAAGTAAAGTCACAAGGTTGTGAATGCGAAATATATATGAATGTTCCAGACAAAGCGTGGGAAAAAATCATTAGACAGTCTTAACATGAATGGCTAATTATAATGGAGTGTCGATCCAAATATACATAGGGAATATAGCAGACATGTCAACAAACACTCATATTATATATAATATAATATAAGGAGAATATACATTATTAAAGGAGACAAGTTCACACAAGTGAAATGGTCACAGACTAAGCGAGCAAACAGAAAGAGAGACCAACATGCACACACACACATAAATATATATGTGGATACATATCAATTATTTGTAAAGGTAGCGGGAAAAACGTCGTGGAACTGTGTAAATTTACCTCTATTTATTACCAGTTCATCTGAGTAACAAACTTGAACTCGGAGGGTTTGAACTGATTTAGCTGTCTGAGATGAGTCAAAGTGGATGCACTACTCGACTTCAGACGAGTGAAACGACCGCCAGTCACGGTAACGAGCAGATTGCCTATTGTCATCTGAGTGATTTTAGTTTTCAACAGGAAACTGTAGAGAAATTTCATCTCATGCTGTTTAAATTTACGTTTTTTCCCTCCACGTTCCCAGTGGATATAGGGATTCAAGCTAGAGGCTTTAAGTTTCCATAGCAGTGTTTATTTTCACAGATGAGGTTGCGAACTTCATGCCCAATCTTTCCTCTTTACCAACCTTTTATTACTGGTTTGACGAGATAAAGGAATGCGTCGGTCGAGGATCGAACCCCAGACCATGTGGATGGTCGGCGAGCATCCTAACCACCAAAGCACAATGAAACTGGTGGTGGTGTGGTATGCACTGGAGGACAACTGTGATTTGCTGTACTGACTGTGTGTAGCGTGATTGGCTGAGAGTTGGTCATTGATGGTAGTGGCGTTTAAAAGCCCTAGGTTGAGGTGGGATTCGAACACATGCCCTTTCAGACTAGTGCCTAAAACCAGCGCCATAGACCGCTCGGCCACTCCACCGACTTAGATTATAAGTGGTGAATTGATTTGCAAATTGTAATTTCGATTCACTCTAACTTTATTTAACTTTATTAAAAGCAATTCTTTAAAGAGTTCACACTCAAATTACCTGTATTGTTTCAATTGCTGGTGTACCATCACGAAGTTGACGAGCAACAGCTTTTGGAATACATTGATATAAAAGACGATCAGTTATTCTTCGCATTTTATCCAAATGCTTCATACTTTTTTCTAATTCTTCACTCTTTTTACGTTGCTATAGCAAAAAGGAAAGCACTGGGTTAAATGATGTGTAAAATGAATTGTCCGGAAAAAGTGTAAGAATTTAGTATCACATAATGAGAATCAATTGTGATTATCAAGTGCTGGTATAAAAAGAATCGATTGGTTGCAGGTTTCATCACGAGTTGACATCAGGTTGAGAACCACTGAAAACTAACAGGTCAAGGTCATCCACCATTCAACCACTGCGCCCCGATGAAATGACCCATGAATTTCATTGTCTACAAATTCATGTGTATCAGCTCGCCTTGCAACCAAAAGATCCTGGGTTCGAACCCCAGTGAGCACCTACTGATGAAGAGTCTCAAACTAGAAATGTACAGCTGTTCAGTACTTCCTGGTGGCTTTCACTGGTTCTCTAACTGATGTTGACTTGTGATCGGATCTGTATTCAGTTACATTTATTTACTTATAAATGAAGTAAAATGTTGTGTGAGTGGCTTGATATGATTATGAGCAATAAGTTGTGCTCTAAAGGTCATCAGTTAATATTACTGTATAACAGTGTGTGATTTATCAAAATAAAGTCTTATCTCTAGTGGAGTTATACTCTACCATAGTCCGCAAAGTCGTTTGAGGAAGAAGTATTGATTTAGACACCGATGCTGACAGAAACCTGAATTAGTTGAACTCCATCCAAAGTAGGACTAAAATGACAGAACTGATACGTCAAATACCATGTAATGACTTCTACTTCAAGTATATGCGTCGAAATTCCGATCTAAATCACTCAGAGTTCATTTTGCATAGAGGAGCTATGTATGTCGCTAAGATATGTTTCACATATAAGTTCCGGTTATTGTTACACTTGCTGTAACACGCATTTACTCTATTAAGTCATATTCTGAGCACTGTTTGTTAATTTTGTGTCTCTATTAGCCAAAAGCCATGTAATCTCTGCAGCAAGTATGTTAAAATTTCTCCCTCTCTCTCTCACTCTCTACACAAACACACACAGATAATTAACTTTTAGGTTGAAGTGGAACCAACGAAATAAATGATGGCCTCATCATATTTAACACAAACTTTTGTTTTTGCATTATTAAATTAGAATGGAAAGTTTATTAATTTTAATATAGGTGCTACTCCAAGGAGAAAGAGGAACCATATGTACTTTCTTTCCTTGAGGATCCGGAAAATAAGTACCTAGGCGTTAACTGATGAAGAACTGCAAAATCTCACACGAACCGTAATGGTAAGTGGTTTCTCACTCAGATTCACAGACAAGAGTCTAAAACTAAGGAGAACGTCTGAATAGGTTCAAATCCCCCCCCCTCCACACAAAAAAGATGCTGACGATTAGTCGCAAACTGAATGGCTTTGAAAATCTCTCAGTAAAACACACTTCGCCGCCAACCTTCCTCTCAAGAAACTAGTCATGCCAGCAGGTGAATGACAAGCTGTCATATTGAGCCACTTCAACAACCAAGTAACAGTTAACTTGCTCTTGTAGAATTGACTTCATTGGCTACACCATGCGTCTGCTTGTAATATGCTCTCGGGAATATTAACCAACCTCGCTAGCAAAGTGAAAACGTACGCGTGTTTATAGTACGGTCACAGAGCATCTGATGACCTCAGAACATTCAGCTCCACTTAAAATATCCTTCAAAGCCATATACCAAATCCGAATAAACCTTTCAAATGGAATGAAGTCAAGACATCTTGACATAACTGAGACACTAGCAGTCCGAAAGTTCACACACACACACACTATCCATCCAAAAGAAATCCGTCCAACTGTTGTCTCTACCATAGCAATTATAAAGAGTTAAATCCTTCAACAGTGATTATCCGATACCTTTCTTCTTATCTGCACCACTATGTTTTATAACCGAACTTCCTGTCCATTTTGTTAGTGCTACTAATTGTACAAAAAGACAACTTTCACAATAATAAGGATCCTACCATGTTTCTATCCGATCTTTCTGTTTATTACACTTTATAATTTTATTGATTTGCCCCTTGACCGAAAACAGTTCTAAAACTTTCTCACCCATTTTCTTTAGACACACGAATATACAGCCGAGGTGATGAATTCATGGAGTGGAAAATATTTTTCGCTGCAACCATCTTTTTATTATTTCTTTTGATCGAATGCGTATATTCCCTGATTATTTAAATTCTTAGAGGGAAATAAAGGTTAGAAGTCATATTGTCTCAATGAACTAGGTAGAAAGTGATTTTTATCCGAATTTCGAGTGATGTATTAGTCAAATTATAATTCAATCACTAATTCCACATAAATTTAGGTTTTCTTGCCAAAATGATCGATGGAATCATGCTCTTGCCTAAGACGCGGCATAACATCAGGGTACGTCATCTTGGAGAGAATAAAAGACGCACTGGATGCCGGACACCACCGACCGGAAGAAACTGGATTCTGAAAAAGCAAATCTTCTGCGGATCAGATTACAACTGTACTCACCATCATCATCATCATCGAACAGAGCATAGACTGACAATAAAATCTCCACCTCAGAATCATCGGATTTGAGAAGGCTTCAACTGAGCTGACCATGAAGTGATTTGAGAATTACTTCAAAACTGTGGAGTACACTAAATGTTTATCAACCTCATTCAACAACTATATGCCTATGGCACGTCTCAAGTGATCTACAGAGGCAAAATTAGTGAAGCCTGAGAAGAGAATAGAAGAGTGAAACAAGGCTGACTACTATCATAGATGATATTCCTATTTGTTGTGGACTGGATCACGTGGAACACTGTACGCGTGGAACGAGGAGGCAGGAATACATGGGAACGATGAGAAGACTCTAGAAAATCTAGACTTTTCAGGTGATTGGTGTTTAAGTTCACATAGACTCGAAGCATTGCAGGTGAAAACCAGCTCACTGTCAGAGTAAATAGCAAAGATACCACCACACTTCAAGCAATGATGGAGATGATGAAGACAGTCAACCATCAGTAACAACAAGCACTAATCACTACCAACGGGAGAAATTTGTAAGGTGTTACTTCCTTCACTTATCTGGGAAGCATCGTTTCAACTACCGGCCGGCGGAACGGATGAAGGTGTCAAAGCAGGTCAGAATCGGAATGGCAAGATACGCCTTCATCAACCTGTAACCTGTTTGGAAATCTTCTACAATGCACTCAGCCAGCGTAAGTGACAAGATTGTGATTCACAACACAAATGTGAAGTCAGTGAGTACTTCTACATGGGTTGGAAACTTGACCGGCGCGTCATGAAAAGCATTTCGAACATTCAATTGCAAACTTTTATCAACAATTTCCTTCACTGGCGGTATACTGAAGATCAATTGGCAAGCTGGCCAGAAAGAATCAGCATCAAGAAACTCTTGGAATGAACCAATTAATCAATTATTGCTCAACAAGTATTCCGAAGAAAATTGTAGAGGGGTCCGATATAGTCTGACAAGAACATTGAGTGACATTTCGCACCAAGTCATCACTTGAGTGGAATCCCAATGGGAAATAATGAATGGATCCTGTGAGGAGGAAATTAGAGACTATGGGTAGTCGTGGGGTCAGATTAAGAGAACTGGAGAGAACAGAATAAAATGGAGATGTATTGTCGCAGGCCTATGTTCCACTCGGAACTAAAGAGAATAATAATAGTAGTATAGTATACAGCCGATTCATTCACAAACAGTATTCATGCTTGAAATTTCCCATTAAGTTCTATAATTTAATCGATTCATCTCTATTTCTATCCATATCAATATGGATTTTATACAGGTGTACAGTGCTTTATATTGAAATGGTTTCAACGGTAACCATCCCATGATTTATCTGAAGTTCCACAGTTTTGATGACATTCTTTCATGAATTTATCATTACACATGATCAATGTAATTCAGGTGTTTATTTCCTCTACCAGTTTTGTATAATTTGGCTACTAAAAATTCATGTGACTCACAATTAACTTACAATACTTTATAGAAAATGTCTAACAGATGAAATCAAAGTATCCACTACAATCCTACAGCAGGTCAGTCGCGAGTCCAAATAGCTCTGACTGTAGCACTGGGTGGCACGGGTTCGAATCCCGCAAAGGACATGAGTTGTTTCAAGGTTGCAGATACACCTTACTGACGAGTGCTAACTAACACGATTGCCTCCAGTCATCTAATATCATGAAATAACGAAGCCTTTATCACACATGAAATAAGTCTGATACAGTAATTAAATAAGAGTGGCATGCCAAGACAGTTACAGCAGGCAGAAATCCCATGTCACTTTTGTGGTATATTTAGTATTAAAATACATAAAAAGGTAAATGTCTGTGAAAAATTATACGCGAAACTGACCTTTTGAAATAATTTCAATAACTCATCGGAATGTTGATCACCGCAAATGATCACATCTCTGCTTCGATCAAACATGTTTAAATCACATATGTAGAGACCGTGTTCATTCAGTTGCTTGGTATCTCGTATACTGTAGTATTAATGTTTGCACAAGAAAAAAAAACACAAAGTTGTTATGCAATCACAAAAAATAAGGCAGTATGTGGATATAGCTTTTAACACGTTTCTTCACACGTATGTACAAATCTCATAACTAACAACCTTCAGTTCCATAGAGGATCACTGAAATAAAACCCAACGCTCCATATAAATCTGTTTATTAAATATATTACACAGTAAAACAGTATTATTAACTAGATGACGTTTCGAACAAAATTTATTCTTCATAATCATATCAACTGTAATCACATGACTTCGGAACTTTCGGTTTATAGTTCCCTTTATTCTTTCCTATTCGTCATCGTGGAGGTAGTAGAATTCTCAAGATGTCCGGCTGGACAGGTGTTGAATAACTCCTATTACATGTATTTGCAGTTGATTCGATAAACAAAGCTTTCGTTATCGATCTCTCCCTCCATCCAGCTGTTACATTAGATTTTAAAACTGTCATCCTATCCCATCCAGCCTATTATATGGTTGCGTATGCATAATTGCATGTAGTGAGTGCTATAGCTGAACTATTCTTTAGATTTCTTATCGTATTCGGGTCAACCAATCTGGATTTTGTTAGGTTATTGTCCTCCGCTATTCTGATTGACCCCGTCCTACTACTATGACCTATGAATCTGACCTGACAATCATCGCAGGCAAGGTATTAGATAAACTGAATTATTTTGTTTATTTGACTTCACAGGATTAGTCCTTTAACCGACAAAGCTTGTTTCTAATTGAGTTTGTGGGTTCGAATGCCAATTTTATTCCTGCCTTGTTAAGAATTCTGTATAAGGTGGTTTCCAAAGTTTCTTCCTTGTATGGAATTACTATTGATGATTTAGATTCCTTATTGTTGGTGTCGTCATTAATATTATTATTATCACTATTATTATTATTATTATCATTATTAGTGTTATTGTTATTATTATTATAATCACTATCGCTACTATCATTATTTATTTTATTTTTACATTTACTTACATATTTCTTGACTAATTTATCCGGGTAACTATTATGTTTCAAGACTTCTTTTATGTGTTTCACTTCCTGTCTTAGATTTTCCTTGGTACTACTTAGTTTTGTGCTCTGTCACCTAAACATTTCACCAATCCTATTTTTACTGACATAGGATGAGATGATCTGATGTCTAAATATCTGTTCGAATGTGCAGGTTTTCTGTAAACACTAGTGTTTAACTCCCCGTCTTCTTTCCTTTTTAATTTGCAATCTAACTTTGGAAGCTCCCCTTCCTAACTTTCCAGTTCTTAAGTCAGCTGAATTGCTTCGACCTTTGAGTTGATGTGTTTGGAAGATCTATTTATATTCTAAGTACAGTGAATGTGTCATCCACATACCTCCACCATACTTTTCGGGTGGGGGTGAACATTTCAAACGCTATGTTTTCTCACCTATCCATGAACGTATCTGCCACAATCGGGGATATTGGTGACCCCATGGCAACTCCTTCAGTTTCTTTGTATATTTTTCTCTTGGAATTTAAATACTGTGGAAGTCAGGCATAGCTAGCTGCACTCCCACAATTATGTTCTCTATTCTGTTCAGCAGTCCGATCTTCTCCCACTCCCAGAGTCGGAACTCAAACGCCTACTGCTTATGTGTACCATGGATTTGCAATTCCAATTTGACAACACATTTTACCGCCAAATAGATGGTGTAGCTATGGGCAGTCCACTTAGTCCTGTTTTAGCTGATACATTCATGTCAAACCTTGAAAGAACAAAGTTGAACCATGCAATGGATGAAATATCTTCCTACTGTCGTTATGTTGATGACACATTTATAGTGTGCAAAAATGAAAGCCATGCTTCACACTTACTAAGATTATTCAATGATGCACACGCCAATATTGAGTTCACTATGGAACATGAAAGTGACGGAAAGTTTCACTTCCTCGACATCGCCAAGGAACGCCTAGAATACAGTAGTCTTCAAAAGTCAATTTATCGAAAGCCCACATGGAAAAGACAATACTTTCATTTTAATAGCTTTTGTCAGAATAGCTTTAAACGCGGTCTAGTCAAGACTCTGTACTATAGAGCGAGGAGAATATGCTCTATAGAGAAGTAAGAAGAATTTGAGTTTCTTGAAAAGACATTGAAGAGCAATGGGTACACTCAAAGGTTCATCGAAAAGTATGGAAGATCTGAAGTCACAAATGTAAAACAAATCACAGTGGGAAAAAAGCCAATCTACTTTCAGCTCGATTATAAAAGTGAAAACATGGCAGCGATGATCAACAGAAGGCTGAGTACATCACTAGCCATAGCCTATCCTCCAGCTAAGCTGGTTCCTATCTATCGAACAAGCTGCTCTTTGGTGCAATCAAAAATCGATAGATATCTTTCTCATGTTAACTCCAACTGTATATGCAAATTTACATGTATCTGCGGGTGCAGTTATATTGGAAGGACATAAAGAAGGGCATACCTCCAATTTTCTGAACATGTACCAAAAATCTTATGTCTAAGGGGAACAAATGCTTTAAACAGTGCCGTCGCCAGGCATCTTCTCGACACGGGTTATGAGGTGGACGTCGAAAAGTCGTTCAGAATTATCAATAGGTAAAAGAGCTCAATTCTCCTTAAGTTTGCCGAAGCAATTTCCACCAAGCGCCTGAAACCTGATTTATGCGTCCAGAAAGAAGAGGTTATCAGTCTTTCTTTGGCCTGGTAACTGGATATTTTTCACCTATCTTTCTTCCGAATGCGAAATGCTAAAAGTTTCCATTGTGTATGATTATTATAGTTCAGAATAGTGTTTAATATTGCATATTTATACATGTATATATATTTAGTGTATGCGTATACTGATCGATTGATTTTTGTTTAAAAATGAACTCTGTGCAAGTATGTCAAAATTGTTGTTGTAGATATATTTAATAATGTATTTGCCATGTAAGCGGCTGACGAGAAGACAACGAAATAAAAGATGGTACCTTTTTATTCTGCTAAAACTGTATTTCTTGCTTTGTTCAAATCTTCTTAATGTTTCAGTGAATTCATGTTACTCAGTATTCCAGACTATTCAAATATTAAAATTGTATGGCATTTTATTCTGTCCTTGTGACTAAAGTAAAGAAGTAGGCAATATACCTGATGTAATATCAAATAATCTTAAGTGAGTAAATTATGACATCAAGGGTAGGGTATGATCCTTTAATCAGGTATGAAATATAATAGGAAAGGTAACTTTCTTCTAAACCCAACTATGTAACACGTTAACATCCATCATTCTTAAGTGTATACAATTATAACCTGAATTATCTTGTCATATAAATTGTTCATGTACTCAACCAGTGATGATATGAGGTAGGGATAAGTGGACTTGTTTGAATAGAACAAGAATAACTGTTTGTACACAATAAGATGGTATCGTTATTTATTTCGTTGGTTTCTCATCATCTGCGCGTACAGCCTAGATAAGTCAGTAAGCTTATGTGGATGGAGTGCAATTTTGAAAGACTTCCTGCCGGTTGGCAGGAGACTTCAGACTTCATAAACAGGGCTCAGAAATTACACGGATATAGTTTATACCCAGAAAGCTGAAGTTAAAAGAAAAATCAGCAGCAAGAGTTATGTGATAAACACAAGAGGTGAATAAAATGATGAGTAACTAACAAAATGAATAAAAATGTAGTGACTTCATCTCAGATTAAGCAAAGAAGAGGAGGTTAGAGGTAAAGATTATGCAATTAAATGAAAGAAAGACAGAGTGAAGATATTCCGTTATTATCAGGCCAAGGGAAGATGTCTGGTAACTACTTCAATCTGAACACACTGGTCGGGTCTCAGGCATTTGATGGATGTTGCTTTGGCAAACTTGATAAGAAGAATTGAACTATTTTTTGCTTTTTGATAATTCTAAAAGATTTCGTGATTTCCGCCTGATTTCCACTTGTATTGATGGGATGTCCGGGAATCCCACTGTTGTTACCTTTTTTTTCCCTTTGAGATGTAGGTTATGTGATGCATATTCAGGAAATATACCTGTTCTCCCAGTGTAACTGCTGATATCGCTGATACATGTTAATTTGTATACCCAGTTGGAGTGAATATGAGAAAGGTATCTATCGACCTTTGATTGAACCAAAAAGCATGTTATTTGATAAACGGGAACCAACTTAGCTGAAAGATAGCTTCTGTCACTATTCCTGCATCACTGTAAACTTTAAAATTGAGTTGAATGAAGCTAGACCTTTCTTATTACTGCGATTTGTTTAGCATTTTAACCTTTGCATCTTCCTAAATTGCTAGTGAATTTCTAAGGTCAGCCGTTCTTTCCCAACATCTTTTCGAGAATCAGAAATTCTCATTGCAATTTATATTTACATATTCTCTTAACCTTGTAAAACAGAGTTTTGAACAGTGCTCATTTATAGCTACTTGGACTAAAAATATTAAAATATAAGTATTATCCATTCCATGCTGGCTTTCGGCAAATTGGTCTCTGAAGACCTTCCAATTGTTGCATGGCGATGTTAAGGAAATGAAACTTTCTATCACTTTCAAGCGCCTTGGTGAATTCAACACTTCTATGTATAATAATTTTTCCTTCACGTTCCCAGTGGGCTCCAAGCTAGTGGCTTGAGGTTTCTGTAACAGTGTTTAATTTTTACAGGATGGGGTTGTTAGCCTCATGCCCAACCTTTCCTCTTTACCAGCATTATTTCTGGCTCAGTGAGGTAAAGGAGTGCGCCGGCCGGGGATCGAACCCCGGACCATATGCATGGTCGGCGAGCGTCCTAACCGCTATACCACCGACGCACACACAGTGGTTAAGATTTTCGCCGACCATGCACTCTTCTATGTATGTTGTTGAATAATCCGAGTAGCTAGGAAGTATGGCTTTGATTGTTTTGCACACTAAATATGTGTCATCTACAAATCGATGACAAGAAGTTGTTCAGTTGACTGCAAGCTTCAACTTTGTTCTCTTAAGGTTTAACATGGTGTTTGATTGAACGGGAGAATTGGACTGCCAATAGGTATACTATCTATTTAACGAAAAAGAGTTTTGTCAAATTAGAGTTCTATATCTGTTGTGCATATTAGCAGTAGGTGTTTCAATTAATTTTGTGTTAATGGAAATTGTCAAAAAGCCTAAAATTAGGCTAACCATCATATGCCTTTCATCCCACTTAACATCTAAGAGTATTGATAATTTTTAGAACAAAAAAAAACTTTCAAGAGTTGGTTTTTAAGAATTTGATTTTTTTACGAGTTTGACCACGGATTGATATCAGCTAGAGAAACATTGAAAACCACGGAAGCACTGGACAGCTGTTTCAACCTAGTTTGGGAATCCTCGGCAGTACGCACCCACTGAGGTTCTAACCCAGGACCTTTCGGTTACAAGGGCAAGCTGGTATACCATTCAGCCCTTGAGACTCGATTCGATTACCCATGAATTAGTGTGGTGCTCGCTAGTGACCTGCTACAGGACTGAGTTTCCTGGAGTTCTAGTGAGATTTTATGATCAGTGAGGTCCATTCAGTTAAATGTGAGAATCGATGTCCCACCGATGACATTGGTCGGTGGCCGCGCTAAATCACGAAATGTTTTAAGTTAAAATTCATGGGTTGGCCGCTGAATTGGGGGTTCCAGTGGCATCTCAAACAAGCTACACACCTTCATTAACAGTTGTCTTCACTCAATACTCAAGATCAGATGGCCAGCCAGAAAACATCAGCAACAGGGAGGGATCTCTGGCAATGAGCGAACCAACCAGGAACCGACTGTGCGGCAAATAGGCAGGAAGAAATGGAGATGGCTTGGCAATATGCTGAGGAAACCATCAAGTGACATCACTAGACAAGCCATTGCTCGAGTGAAACCCGAAAGGGAAGTGGCGAGTTGGTCGTCATTACAAGGGTGACTTGGAGAAGGTGATGTGAAGAGGAGATGAAAGCGTGTAGGTAGACTTGAAGCGGGGTGAAAACGTTGGCAGAAAACAGAAGGCAATGGAGACGCACAGCTGAAGCCCTATGCCCCTCTAGGAATTAAAGGATATAATAATAAAATAACAACAAGTGGCTGAATGGTATACGAGCTTGTCTTGTAACCGGAAGGCTTTGAGTTCAAACCCAATTGGTGTGTGCTTACTTTCTAGGATTCCCGAACTAGAATGAAACAGCTGTCCAGTACTCCCTGGTTTTCAGTGGTGCTCTAACTGATATCAATTCGTGGTTAGACTCGTAAAAACAAAAGAAAATTTGTTGTGAGTTAACCAGAGTGAAGTATTTTAACAGAAAGTTTCAGGATGGCAAACAGTAATGGATAAATTTATTGATTAGTTTCAAGAGTCTCTCAAGTACTCAGTGTGTGATGAAAAAAATCAGTTAATTAATAAAAACAAAATCCATAAAAACCAACAGCAACAACTCCATAGTAGAACATTTTTTTTATTCAGTTGAATCTCAGTGCTATGAATTTTATTTATAACAAACAAACCAACAAGGAAAAGTTCAGGAAGACGGTCAACTTACGATGGTGCACCTAGAAATAAAAGCATATTCCATTCTTCTACATAACGCATTTCACCTCTAAATTTACATGCTCTCTGACCAGATACCAATTGTTCACATGTTTCTAAAAGTGAAAATAAAAAGAAGATACAAACCTTGTGACCAAGGTAATGTTTTCAACTGGCAATTAAAATACAAATTCGTCTCAAGAGGAGGTTTGTGGGAATTTGATTTGTTTGAGGCTTGAACAGGAAGTGTTAGCATCGGGGAGGGCTAGACAGCTGTTTCGTTCCAGTTTGAGACTCCTCAACAGTACATGCCCAACGGGTTTCGAAACCAGGATCTTCTGGCTACAAGTCAGTTTCACGGACTCTGAAGGCAATGAGACCTGACTGAATAGCCAGTTCATGAATTCCAACTTCTACTAATTCGTAATTTTAGCAAGACCACCATCCAATGTCAGTGGCAAGTATTTATCATCATACTCTACTGGGTAGAGCTCATTGGTCGAGAATTTTCACTAGAACTCCAGCCAAATTTATTCCGAAAGCTTCTGGGCTTGAACTCCGATGGACATATACTGTTGAAGAGTAGTTACAGACTAGTCTAGTACTCTCTGGTTTTCGAAGGTTCTCTAAGTGCCATCAATCAATGATGAAATTTGAAGAAAATATTTCTGTTGATGCCGCTATAAACTCGGAAAGAATGAATTATCCATACACTTTGAGACTTTAAAGGGTGGGGGGGGGTCAGATATTCTAGTAGTAGGATTTCATGCGTTTAGTAGAGTTTGATCCCTTAAGAAAATAATCTATAGCTCATGTAGCATACAGCTTGATTCCACACCGTATTTTTTGGTACAGGTATGGAATTTTCAGCATGTGATATCGGTAGCCCAAAATTTTGCAGGCCGACCATAGATATCAGGTGTGCGCCGGCAGTGGATCGAACCCCGGACCATGTGAATGGTCAGCGAGAGTACTAACCACTGTGCCACCGACCACGAGGTGCATTGGCAGCGGATCGAACCTCGAACCATATACGTGGTCGCAGAGCATTCTACCGTTGTGCCACCGACGCACTACTATTGGCACTCCTTCACCTCGCTAAGCCATTGGTGAGACTGGTAAAGAGGAAAGGTTCGGCATGAGGCTATCAACCCCATCCTGTAAAATAAACACTGCTACAGAAAATTCAAGCCACTAGCTTGAAGCCGTATGTTCCACTGGGGAACGTGAAGGAAAAAAATAAATAACAGTTTATTGATAACGTTGCATTTTCGTACAGATTTTTTATCAAAACATTATCGTCTTTCCACTAGTTTTCTTCCACTCTACAGAGTTATATTGATTAGTCATTTTCTCAAACTTATTACATCATGTCATAGTCTGTCTCTTCTCTAACTTCCAATTAGTCACCCCCTTCTAGGTTATACCTTTCATTATGTAATACGTCTTCGAGGACAAATTTTACCAGTACCTGATTGGTCTTATGAATTCTTTGTTAAATTTAATTACGATTGTACAGCAGATTATGAAAATGAATCGTCGAAAAGAAAATTTTCTTTGGCGTTTACACCTTTTTCTTATGACTCAGGATAGGTATTAAAGGGTAAGAATAAACAGGAAGAGCGGATAAAAACATGGTAGGTCTATAATCACTGAGAAAATCGATTGTTTGTGTACTTAAGGAGTAAAATCGTAGTAACAACAAAATAGACAGAAAGTTCGGATAAAAAACCTAGCAGTGCAACAAGGATTTAAAGACATACAAATAACAGAAATAATCAGGAAGTTTAGGTAAGAAAGGTGGTAGGATAACCCCTGTTAAGGGATTTGACTTTTTAAGATTGATATGGCAGAGACTATATTTGGACATATTTCGATAAAGAAATAAAGACCATATTTACAGTATAAAATGATATCATCATTCTTTTTAACAGGTTCTCATCAGCTACAATGTATCTGAAATTATAATGGTTATAAATAGTGGCAATAACATACTACTTCAATGTTTGAACAGTATTAAAGAAAATCAACGCATCCAAAATATAAGCATTACAAGTTTTCATTTAGGTTACCGTCAGTGTATATGCTTTCAAAATAGAAAAGGAGGGCTGGGGTAGGAGAAGACAGAAAACAGACAAATCTAATAAACAGTGTAAGCATGTAGGTCTACAAATACGTTGAACATATTTCTTCTGGATAGATGCCGCGTACCTAAACTTTTGGTCTTCTTGTCCTTCAACTACACCTAGTTGCCTTGATCTCACTCTTGTTTGAGACGTAGGTGTGGATGTTTTCTTTAATTCAATATTAAGCACTTATGTTGTGTCTAGCAACAAGTCTGACACACGGTATACATATTACACTTCTATTGAATCTATCTTCTAATATAATATTTATCTATTTAAACACTTGATTCTCGAGACAGATTTCTCTGACCTAATAAGGAAGAGTATACAAATTGAATAGACAAAATGAAAAAATGAAAAATTGGTACAGCTAAAATATGATTGGGGATTAACATACTTTAGCATAGAGAGATTAAGACCATGAAAGTTGAAGGGGTTGAACGAACTTTTTCTCTACACAGAGATCTGGCTTTTCTGTTTCCATAACCGGAGCTTCAGCAATACAGATGAGTCGGGTACGTAGGGATTTGGGTAAATTACTCTTTGCCTTGTGGATGACTTTAAAGGCGGAGGCTATAGAGATAGGGTGATCATTATCGACCAGATGTTCAATGGTCGCGCTTCTTATTGCTCCACTTCCACCTTATCGTAACCATGCAGGATAGTGTTCTTGCACCCTCTTGAACGAAACTCAAACCTGTCAGGGGACAACTATCTAATCGTTCCCTTCGCGATACCTTCCAGTTTGTTGAATGTATACAGGATATAAATGCGTCGAATAAGCATATGTTGTCTTTGGATGAAGAATCCCTATTTACTAACGTTCCACTGAGAGAAACCATATATTTTGTATGCAAATATATTGATGACAACAAACTGAACATAGGAATACCCACTACAGATCTGAAAGGACTACTTTTGAGATATACATTGAATGTACAGCTTACTTTCAGTGAAACAATCTACAGACAGAAGGATGATGTTGCAGTAGGTTCTCCCTTGGGTCCTCTCCTTGCAGACTGTTTTATGTCCACTGATATAAGAATAAAACTTGTGCACTGTGGTAGAGTTTAATTCCATCATGGGTAAATTTTGTTTTGATAAAGTCTCACAGTGTTATACAGTAATGTTTACTGATTGACTAAGTCGTGTGAGTTTGTTGATAAGCTTCCTAGTAGGAAGACCATATGTATCATTGATATAAGAATAAAACTTGTGCACTGTGGTAGAGTGTAACTCCATTATGGGTAAAGTTTTGTTTTGATAAAGTCTCACAGTGTTATACAGTAATGTTTTACTGATCAGTAAACATTACTGTATAACACTGTGAGACTTTATCAAAACAAAATTTACCCATGATGTTTTATGTCCAGTCTAGAAAATGGTCAGCTGAAGCCTATAATCCAAAGCTTTCAAATGTGTAAAAGGTATGTAGATGACACCTTTATTATTTTTACTAGTGACTGTAACTTGAATAATATATTAAATGTATTTAATGGCTGCCATCCTGTGATAAAATTCACACTCAAAATGTGGAACGAGTCTACCATTCATTTCCTCGATGTGAACTTGTCAAGGAGGACCGATGGAACTCAGAAGAGATCGATTTATCGTAAGCTGTCATAGAATGGTCAACTGACAAATTTCTACAGTTAGGTACCCATTGGTCGGAAACGAAACCTGGTCCGGTCGCTTGCCACTCGTATTCGGCGCATATGTAGCCCTGATATTGTGGAAGATGAGTTATACATTTTGAGGAAAATCCTAATTGAAAATGGATTTCCACCACGTTTTATAGATAAGAATATACATTCAAATCCTATAAAACGTGACTTATCAACCGTACCCAAGAAAATACTTTACATGAGCTTGGAATTTAAAGTGGACTTAGCTTCTGATATCATGAAACGAAGGATATCACAGACCCTGAAAAGAACATTCCCAGCTGCATCTCTGAGAACAGCCTTTACTAGTCGACCATTGCTGTTCAATAACCTGAAGGACAAGATCCCACCGTTTACCAACTCTATGTGTGTTTATCAATTCACCTCCTAATGTGCAGCTAGTTATATCGGCCGTTCGACTTGAGTTTTGTCCAAGAGGGTGCAAGAACACTATCCTGCATGGTTACGATAAGGTGGAAGTGGAGCAATAAGAAGCGCGACCATTGAACATCTGGTCGATAATGATCACCCTATCTCTATAGCCTCCGCCTTTAAAGTCATCCACAAGGCAAAGAGTAATTTACCCAAATCCCTACGTACCCGACTCATCTGTATTGCTGAAGCTCCGGTTATGGAAACAGAAAAGCCAGATCTCTGTGTAGAGAAAACGTTCGTTCAACCCCTTCAACTTTCATGGTCTTAATCTCTCTATGCTAAAGTATGTTAATCCCTAATCATATTTTAGCTGTACCAATTTTTCATTTTTTCATTTTGTCTATTCAACATGTGTAATCTTCCTGTATTACGTCAATTGTTACTATTACTACTCTCACTTTGAACTGTCCCCACTATTATTTCACTTGTTCCTCTTGTCATTCTTGTTTTTACAACGTTAACTTCTCTGACCATCAACAAATCAGGAATAAATTCCTTTAGGTGATTACTGGAGAGAGAAGGAATCTTTCATGACATGATACACACACACTCCAAGTATATGTATACATTAATATAAGATGATAATACGGCATACTTATTGAAAAGAAATTACTATCCTTTACAATAGTTAATTTGAGTATTTGATGTGGTTTCATGTTTTGTGCGGTCAGTGGTAGAGGAAACATTTGCCGCCGAATCATTCGCTTTTAAATAATCTCTCTAAGTAAGTGTAAATCTTTTAAAAATTCAACCCTTTATAAACCATCAACAGTAATGTTAATAATCATGATACCTAGAACTCTTTGTAAATCAAGAGTGTTTTCACTGCCTCGAATTTTACTCTGTACAAAACACAATATATTAGGAATCCGTTTTTTAGGCATTTTAACTGTTAGGCGAGCAAACAAACTTTGTATCTAAGCTCGTTTTACTTACTTTTCAAACCTGGATCATTCATAAGTATCAATTCAAATGTGTTGTGCATATGTAATTTTATCTGAAAAATAAATAAAAATGTAAACACACAAATTTTCATGTATTGGTTTTTGTAGGGATCTTGTTCGATTTGTAGGAGAATTTCATCATGAGCTGACATCATTTAGATAACCTTTGGAAAATCATCTGGGAGTACTGAACAGTTGTTTCGTCCTGGTGAGGCATTCTTCACAGTACGTACCCACCGGACTTCGAATCCGGTGAGGACTCCCAAACTAAGACGAAACAACTATCCAGTCCTCCACGGTTTTCTAATCGTTCTCTAACTGATGTCAGCTAGTGATGAAATCCTTCAACCACTTAAACACATAAATATTTACTATTAACCTTAACATCATAAATTTTATCATCGATAGATTATTGAATGACTATTACATAATTATGATCCCCTAAGTTTCAGAGTAAAACATAAAGCTTCAACTGCACATTTACATTTCACCATGTTTTCTGCAGTCATATTCAGCAGACTCCACGCCTGTCCACAGGCTCTCATGATCCCCTCCATTTCATCCTCAGACGTCCCCCTCATCGTTTCAGATTCAAAGGCCCTCGTGGCGTGTGTGTCCAATCTATTTTACTTCAGCATATTTATTAGGCTATGGATTAAATGATACGTGAATCCTAAAAATCTAATCAAAATACCGAATAGAATGAATTATTAAGAAGTTGCAGAAAGCATTCACTGAAGAATTATTTCTCCACTCTAAAATTTATCAAACTATTTTTCATCAGATAATACAATCACTGCTTGCCAACCACGCATGTGGTTCAGGGTTCGAGCCCCAACGGATGCACTCCTTCACCACGCAAAGTCAGTATTAAGACTGGTAAAGGGGAAGGTTGCGTATGAGGCTATCAACCCCATCCCGTAAAAATAAACATCACTGATACCGAAACTTTAAGCCTCTAGCTTGAAGCCATATGTTCCACTGGGAACCTAAAGGAATAAAAAATTACACTTATTCAGAATTAAATGAATTATATTGAAATATTGATCAGTGAAAATGAAACATTTGTTTGAATAGAATACTGTTTAGTTACTTTAAATAGGTGTTTGATAATAGCAGTATAATAAAATGCAGAAATGTAACGCTAAGTGACTACTTTAGGAACTTAAACTTCTGCATGTCGGAATACACAATTACAAGCACACAGCTTGTGAAGAAAATAATTAGGTTAATCTCTTTTCACTGTAGCTAATCAGTTCAGATACTCCACCGAAAGTAGCTATATCACACACACTGCTACTTGGACCTCAAAACTGGACAGTATTAAAGACATTTTTAGCTTGATATTATTATACCTTGACAAAAGGCATCAAAAGTCAACCATTAAGCAATAACTCTTCATATGTTTTCCATTTGATGGCATTCCAAAAAGCCCTAGTTCCCGAATACTTCAGCTAACAGCTAAAGCTAAGGATATTTTTACAGAAGAATCACATGCAACCCGAATTTACACCACTGTAACCATCACTGGAACTTATAAATTCTTAAATATTTTGTATATAATCCAGCGTAGGTGTAAAATCTCACCCTGTTTGTAAACGTCCCCTCATTTCTTGTACTATTAACCCGCAGTGTGGTGAGAGCTGGCTGCAAACGAATCGGGGGTCATGAGAAATCACAGCGGAGTTAATGTGTGGAAATATGATTCACAGACATATGGCTTAATTTTCTGAGAAACGGCCACAAAGAGATAACAGAATAACCTTCAGCAAGAATATACAGAAGAGGCTGCTTCTCCGCTAACAATAATGTACACAGAAATCTATAAATACCTCTTGATTTTCTTAATATCATATCATATCTTCACCCTTCAACAGATTTTGAAACATAAGCATACTTACTGGCGTCCAACAATCGTCATATTTCCTAACCTAAAGGCGGCATTCGGTTCTGTCGACCGAGATATACTATTGTGATGTTTCGCTGTAAAGGGAATGCCGAGAAAATACATTGCAGTGATCGAGGCACTCTGTTCGAACTAATGCGTTCAGCCAGGTGAGAGCTTACAGCTAGTTGTCATCTGAAATAGTGACAGCTAGTGGTGTCCGACAGGGATGCCCATCATCACAGATGTACGAATACCCAATGAAACTATATTATTCTTCGCTATTACTATTCTTTTTTTCTCATATCTCTGTTTATTGTCTCTATTTCGCATTTCTTTTTACTTCCCTCTTTCGCTTTATATGTTACGTGGAAGGAGTGTGGCGACTTTAACTGCTGCATATCGGAACAAAGTTCTGTGTTGAAACCAGTCAGTCGGTCAGATAGTCTACTATTCAGTTTTCCCTCCTGTCTATTCACATGAAATTTGTAACCACATTGAATGAGAAACTCATTTTTAAAACTGATTACACAAATTCAGTATCATAAATTTGTTCTTCATGTGTGGTTATTGACTCTGAATAAAACTTCCTAAAGTATTCAAAACCAGTTAATTTGTCTAATACTAATTCAGGTCATCAGATATGCCTATGGCTGTCAACTTATATGTATTTTTCGTACAAACTTCCCCATTTTTTGAACTCTAAAGAATTAATTTTATAAAAATTACTGTTATCATACATTTATTCACTTATTAATGTAGAACTGTGAGTGTAAAGTTACAGTAGGATTTGAGCATAATGATAGACGATTATTCCATATTGGATAGATTTATTTGGTAGAAAACACGGTGATAGTTTAGAATTAAGTGGATGACGATTCGAGTACAATTTACTGTTCATAATTATATCAATGTATCCATCCGGCTTCATAATTTGCTTTATATACCGTTTTTCTTTACCTCACCCCTTATTGTATATGCTAATTTTCTATATCTCCGAGTATAGGCGTTGCGTCATTTCGATTGCACGTGTTCAGTGTTGACTGGATAAACGAAGATGCGGTGATTAACTTCTCTCTATCTCCACCTAACTAATAATACGCTTTAATAGTTTTATCCTGTCCCACCCTGTTGCATGATTACGTGTAGATGAATGCTGTAAAATGGCTGAGCTTTTTTTCTAGTTCATTTAATTTAGCCGGATTAATCATCCTAACTGAAGCTATGATTCTATGTTCCAACAATTTAATTCCTTGGGAAGCATCGTCCTAACTACAGAAGGGCGGAACTGACGAGGATATCAAAGCAGCGAGCATCGGGAAAGCAAGAGAAGCTTTCATTACTCCCAAGTCTGTGTGGAGGTCAACAGCACTCGGCAGGAATAATAAGATGAAGATTTTCAACTCCAATGTGAAGTCAGTCAGTGCTACTATACGGATCAGAGACTTAGCGCGTCGTGAAGAGCACCTCGAACAAACTACAGACCTTCATCAACAGATGTTTTCGCTCAATACTACTCAGGATCAGATGGCCGGTCAGAAAAAATCAGCAACAGGGATCTCTGGCAATAGACGAACCAGCCCAACAGGAACCAACTGTGCAGCAAATATGGAGGAAGAAATGGAGGTAGATTGGCCATACTCTGAGAAAACAATCCATCAAGTGACATCACACACTAGGCCATCACTGGAATGGAACCCGAATGGGAAACGGCGAATTGGTCGTCAGTGAGATGGTGACATACGGGAGGTGATGCGAAGAGGAAATGAAAGCATGTGGGCAGATATGGAGCCAGATAGAAACGTTGACAGAGAACCGAATGCAACGGAGACGTGCGGCTGCAGCCCTATATTCCTCTAGGAACCAGAGGAAACAATAATAATGATAATAATCTAATTCATCCCAGTCTGCAAGTTCGACCTATAATAATCACAATAATCACTTTATTCCAAACAACCATAATAATTACACAAAATGGAATTCCCAGTGGTTTTATGCATATTACAACAATTTACCTCTTTTTATAAATGTGTACATACATAAAATTTAAAGTAGTGGTAATAACATTAATAAAGAAACCACTATAAACAGAATGTTGGTTAAAGCATAACGAAGTATAAGTAGACAGTATCACAGACAATAAATGTGATAATAATAATCTTTGCTTATACTTTGCAATTCAGTTACTAATTTAGAGGGTTTATAAGTTCTTTTCGGACCTCTGACTCTTCACAAAAAACCCGTATGGCATGGTGAAATCTTTATATTTAGTTGTACGAGCGTGAATTCTAACAAGATTTCTTCTGGTTTTACCCGAAGAGATAAAAGGAAAATGTTGCGAAAACGCAGACAGGATGTCTGATTTTAGACAAGACAACTTTAGCCAACTGCTAGTAATTGACCTCGCAGTGACTACATAGTTTTTGGTAAATTATAATACTTTTCATAATTGGATCTGTTGGGTCCTTAAGCCAAAATAGTTTATCTCTATCTAGTAGAGCTGGTTGGTTTAAATGCCACTTTAATTCCAGCCTCAGTGAAAATCCTACGCTAGGCATTCAGTGTTCGCAGTAAGTGATTGAAATCCCACTGCAAAGTAAACTCAGTGCCCATAGTTTCAAACACCAAAAACAACTGCCCATTAGGCAACAAATTCTACCACTTGTGCCACTTGGGTATCAGCGGTTATGCAAGTTAATCTAATTACAACTTCCTTCTGAAACGAAATCCTTAGTCTCTATTGACATATCTTCTTCGAGTGCGGATACTTCAACGGTGTCTGGTGATGACATTGATGCTCGCCAGCAAAACGAACCCAGGATGGAGGTATTCCTCCTGGAAATACACGTATGCTGGTGATTTTTGATTCATTAAGCATTTTTAATTGCATTTTCTGGTAATTACATTAACATTTATCTTCAGTAGTTGGTTTGTAAAGACTAGATTCATTTTTTAGGAATTGATCACGGATCGATATCAGTTAGAGAACCACTGAAAACCAACGAGGGAGTACTGGATAGCTGTTTCATTGTAGTTTGGGCATCTCCGGCAGAAAAACCCATTGGGGTTCGAACCAAGAACCTTCCGGTCACAAGGGCAAGCTCATATACTATTCAACCGCTGGGACCCGATTCAACGGCCCATGGTTGGTGGTCGCGCTAAATCATG